AAATAGGCATTTTGGTGACCTTTGACCTATAAAGTTGACCTTGACATTGACTTTTCACAATTCAAATAATTATTATAAAACAACATGACACATATAAGATCATTAAATGCTCAATAATGAACATATCAGTGCATTGTACTGGATCAAAAGCAAAGACGCTGTGAAATTTAGCAAAAAAACACACATTTTTAGGGTTAAAAAAGTAATTTTGAGGGTAGGGGGGGTTTTTGGAAGAAAATATCAAAACAAGTACACAGGAGTGCTTAAAACATATTGTAGCATCAGAAAATCAGGGCTATTGTGGTATTTAGTATTAACACCCCTCCCTACGCTAAGCTACTCTAACATAGAACGCTACGCTGAACTATTTGTTTACACAACAGTTTGTTTACACCAAGGCGTTAGCCATTGTCTTTACTGTCCACAGCCGTCCTTTCAATGTGACTGCCGTGTAGCGCTGGTACGCATTTGATCGCCAGTCCCCCTGTAGTTTGATCAGTTCTGGGGGTATTCCGCACTCGGAGGCCCATGTTGCTCCTCCGCGACGGAAACTGTGGCCGCTGTATTCAGAGTCCCGATAGCCACACTGTTTCAGTAGGTGACGCAATGTCCGGACGAAAGGCTGTTGTGTAAGTGCCGTGTACCGTCCCTGCCCCGTTTCCTGGGGGAGAACAAACGCGGGACCGTCCGCGGCTGCTGTTTTGGTCCGGGAGAACGCATTTTCCACCGCTGAGGTGGGGCACAGTGGCGACCCGGGGATTCGCGGAATGGGGATTTGCAGCACACGCTCTTTGAACTGAATTGTCTTGCTCCACCTCACCGTAATGATCGCGCCCCACTCAAAGAGGCGAAAGTCTCTCCTGCATAGTTGTTTGCTCGGGTCGAATGTTTTTGTCGTCTTCGGCAGGAGGTTAGATTTTCGGAAAAACGAGAAGAAGGCCACCGTACAGGCCGCCCAGAACACCACGTCTTGAGTCCGGGCTAGGTCCAAGCGCTCGTGGATGGCACGCAAGACATCGGGGGTTATAGGGAGTTTTT